TCACTGCCTCAGAAACCAAGGAATGGTTTCACAAAGAAGTCTGTGATGGGTTGAGAAATAAAGTTTATGACTTCAGCGATCACCTCTCGATTCATAAATTAGTTCGGTAACTTTCTCAGTTATTTAATCGCAAAAGAGCTGCTATTTCGTCCTATAAGTCTTATAAGTTCTGTCAAGGTGTTTTTTGTATGAAAGAGCGGGATTAGCTGAGACGTGCGAAGTTTGCATAATGGTTTAAGCTCACCTTGCCAGCATAACGATCATTCAGTGAAGTTAAAATTTGAGGCCGTTTCCCACATTCATGGTGGGAGGAGCAGAAGAACTCAAATGTAAAGAATACCAAAGGAATCCGTTTGTTGTAACGGAAGAACATCATAGTTGGAATCCCGAAATTCTCGCTTGGTTTGAGATGCATAGCAGGATACCGCCGGGTTCATACTTCTTCAATAACGCAAATAATGGAACAGATTATAGTTTTCTACGCTAAAAGTCCAGTACATTCAGTCATTGGACCCGGAGAGAAAACATATTCTCTAAACAAACTGAAAGAAAATATCATCAGCTCATTGTGAAACACCCTACTGGAAGAAACCATCAAAGTTCGAGTGAATATAATACAGCGAAAGACGCTGCTTTGAGCACCTATCGAGGGCGCAAAGGAGTGTTTGTAATTCAGTGACCGAATGAAATTCTGTTTCTTTCTATTAATTGACCAGATCTTATATACACGTGATGCAGTTTTCTCTCTCTCGAGGATCAGGCTCATCACCGCCTTGCTACTCGGCCTATTTATGAATTAAGGAAAGTTGACTATAGATAATTCTATTGGTTTACCTGTTATCATTACCACTTAATGTGTATGAGATTATCACAGGAAAAGTAGCTAAGTAAAGAATACATATACCGCTTTTCCCCTCCCACTTTATCCATAAAACAATCCTCTAGCCTTGACTTACATTCTCTTAGCCAAAACCCCGCAATAATTGAGCCAAGACCCGTGGTCCTTTAGCCTCGACGCACAAACTTTAGTCACACCGCAGCAGGCTAGTCAGATCAAAAGGTATCGGAATATTCTGAAGTCAACGGATGTTGGTTAAGAAATAAGAAACTATGGGGATTGAACGCTGCAACAGATATTAATAGGAAAGGTTTAAGCGATGTGCCCGTATCGTCAAACCATTTGACACATCTCGTGCAGCTTCATTGTTTTCATATAACATGCGATACTCCTAGGCTTAAAAATCACTAGTGTAACTCAGATGATAAATCGTTATGCATTAATGAGTGAACTCTGCTGATCAGAAGGGGATACATAAACGTGTTGAGCATAATAATCTGCTCGTAAAACTACACCCTCATCAGTTTAAAACGCTGCAACATAATTGCCACGGTAGAGGATTAATCATTGTGGGTTTTGTCTATAGCTTCTTGGGAAACGGTGTTCCAAAGGGGGTCTTTTGGGAACAGTGTTAAGTATCCTCGATCAATTAATGTATCCACATCTCCAGAACAGAGTTCACTTTCAGTAGATAAACAAAACGGTAAGGATGTATTTTTTGATTTATTTCAGGGTTTCTGAATGCAAAACAGTGTATCGTTTGAGATCCACTACAGTTTCACTCCTAGTAGCTGTATGAGATGTTTCCAACTGTTTGAAGATACGGGCACATCGCTTAAACCTTCCCAATTACCATCTGTTGCAGCGTTCAATTCCCACACTTTCTTATTTCTTAGCTAAGCCTTGCAGCATTAACATGTCTAGAAAACAGTTTTTTTCGACATCCGTTTACTTCAGAATATTCCGATACTTTTAGATTTGACTCACCTACTGTGGCGTGACTAATGTCTGTGCGTCGAGGCTAAAGGACTACGCGTCTTGGCTAAAGCATTGCGGGTTTTGGCTAAAGCTGGGTAGGAAAAGATGTAGATTTTGATTCTGATTGCGTAAAATACCGCTTACGAAGCTTAGCATAAGCATCATTAATCTAGTGGGGCCGTGTTAATAAATTAGGTTCATCTTATTTTGTCTGACACCCGTGACGAGATTATGGAGACCAGCCAAAAGCCAAACGTAACGGTCGACTGTCCTCGTCGGATGTATGGACGATTCAAGACAAGGGAGAGAGCGAACTTGTGAAGTGCGATCATTTTTTGTCATTTGACACGATTTCACCAGATAAAAGTTCATATTAACCACAGCTAAATTTTCTACTTGTCAGGGTGTTCCCGAGTTGATGAATCACCTGGCCCACTTTTGCTTAAACATTAGTTGAGGTTCAAATGATTCACTTACTCCCCTTGCGTACCTGTATTTGTGCGTGCATGCGTGCGTGTAAGTACTGAATCAGCTTTTCAGGTGCTGCAGCAACTAAATAAGTTACCAGACAGACGTCTACAGTGAAGAATGTTTGTTTTATTGTACTATTCGTCAGTCAGACCTACTTCATCAACATCCCACAATACTCGGTTGTCCATACATGTCTGTCGTATTGTGTGACATGCCCTCGTCACCACTTCTCCACGTCACGAACTGATACTTTGGCTCCTATTGGTGACTGAGGCTGAGCTACTTTTGTCTACCGAATCACTCCCAACCTCAATCGGAACATAAACACACACATGTACACATCATCTTCTTGGGGTTTTGTTATTGCTTTGACTGTTTATAGTCCCCGTTTTACTTAGTGTCCTTGGTGCAATTTTCGATGTGTGTGGTGGTGTCGACGTTGATGTTACTAGCGATGGTGATTATCAAACCAACCATAACTATGCACTTAATGGTAAGGTGAGGTGGATGGTGGGGATAGTGTTGTTCTATCGAATACACTCAACAGTCGTAAAATTTTCGAGCTTGAAACTCACGGTAGAAATCCACCGTGAAACTTTGTGTATTCGACACACATGTGACGCATCGCTTTTACAGGAAACAGGGCTGAGTGCGTTGGCGGGAATTGTGGAGCTGGAGGCTCACCGAAATGCGTCATTCTACTTTTACGAAATCACTCGATGTCGGGTTTTAGGTACCGGTATCGTGGATATGATCAGCAAATTGGTGGATTGCATCTACTCTACGTATCAGTATAGATTCCGATCAATCGGTTCATCCTGGTGAAATCGGATGGGTTTGTGTAGATGATTCTCGCGTCTTGATTTGTATTTGTCTTTGTATAAATTTTGCAAGTTAAAAATTGTACACTGATCGTCACACCGGCGAAAATATAGGATTAGAAATAAATTCAACAGAGTACTGTGTAAAAACTGTCTCCCAAGTTTGATTCATTCAATTAAAGATTGACGTAATTCATTTATAACTCGTTCCTTGTTGGTCAAGATGCGAACCGGATACGGTACAGTGGAGTGTTATAAATGTTTATTTCGGAGGGTAGGTACCGATAAAAGGAACAAGTGATCGAGTGGGAGCGACAAGAAGATAAATCAAAACGCAAAGAATGGCTGGAGTTGTTTAGAATCTTATTGGCAAAGGTCATACAAGACTTCATATGATCAGTAATAAATTCTGTGATCAATGACTCGTCAGAAATTAAAGATGCACGGCTTATCATCATCAATCTACGACGGATGGTTTTATAGTCTTGTTTCAGTAGACCGGGAAACACTACAGGGGAGCAGTAAAGTACAACAAGGAGAATGCATTGTTTAACAAAAGAGAACAAAACTTGTTGGGGAGTGCGAAATTGTCTGAGCTTTCGGAGCTGAAAGGGGAGGCGCCGAAGTATCCCATACAGTTCTGACTGTGTCCATCACCGAAGATTATTATCGATAGTAACAGCTAGATATTTGGCTGAGGTTACTCTAGACAAAAGGTTACAATTAAGGGTTATAGAGTCTCACGGGAATGTAGAGCGCGAAGAACTAAAAATGCGCTCCAACCACTTGGTTGTGTTAAGATTAAGGCCAGACTGGTTTGAAAACTGTTCGATTTCGGAGAGATTTTCAGTGAAGGAGGAAAATTCCGAACAAGGGGAAACGGTCTGACGTAAAACGACATCGTCAGCATCCTTTTGGATATGAGCATATGATGATAAATATGCTCATTGATCAAACCCGTGTAACATGGTCCTTGATTTAGAAATATATTACAGTTATGACTATCATTACAGTTATGACTATCAGTAAGTACATCGACAGCTGTATCGACGTTTGAATGTCGTGATAAAATGTATGGTAGCTCGAAGATAGATACATATACCTCTTTGACTTTAACTCAACCCTCTTTTCTATCTGCTGAAGAATGAGTTTTATTGACATTTCTACAAGAACACATACTACAGTTGGATTATTCGAACAATTCCAGAGGTTGGATATGCTCATTTCAACATTGATTATGAATAGAGTAGAAATAATTGTTTTCAACGCTTCATTGCTCTTACAGACCATGTGTGCGACGAACCCGCGCACATGTAGAAGCTATAGGATAGTTCAATGTTTCACTATCTGAGAGTAGGAGTGTTATCTCCGGAGAAAACATGACTGCTTGAGGGTTGGGACAGTGTTTTCACAGGAAGATAGGTTAGGTGTCATCACAATTCAATTCGTTCACGTGAAAGCACCTGGCTCCATATGGGAATCTATCCTTTTCCCAGATGAACTGAAGCTCCGAATTCGTGATCCTCAGTTGGGTCAATGGATTAGCACTGCAGATGAGACTCAGTCGGGTCGGAACGGCTGTCCAGAGCTTCCCAGCTTTCAGGCCACATTGTGGGCGTTATCGATTGATGCGTCGTTGAACTAATCCAGTTTGTTTGGTGCGATGCAGCTTTGATCTACCACACGATAAATATCGTCTGCACGGTAACTGTATCACACAAAACACTAGGCGTTGAAGCCTAGTAATCAATTTTCTATTTGCAAAAGGATTATATCAACCGTCAAAGACGATTCCATGGCGGTGGTATTTGCTTGATGATAAAGACATCCATTTAAGAGAAACACGACCCAATAATTGTGCATAGAAGTATGAAATCCTTACAGCTTGTTACATGCAAGTTGACTCCTGTTTTAAGGTTTGTATTGGTTCACATCAGAAATGGTCAATAGTACAGTGGTATAATTATTGGACGTCCAGTGAGGACAAAGTCTTTCTAGGTAATTTCAAATTAATCTGAAAACGGTTCTTGAGTAAATCTGAAGCACACCGGTTGTGGATGTTCTGCAAGCCACTGAGCTGTAGCTCGAAGTTCAATTGAAAACAAGTCATCTAACTGAAGTTCGTTAAGTGACAATTTGTACAGTTAAATTTGATTATTGGAATTAGTGATTTCGTCAGTTCTGAGTTGCAGTGATAGTTTCCTGAATGTCCACAGAAAGTTACCCAGAGCTAGAAACTTCGATCATAAAAGCCAGTAGAGAACAAGCATCCAACAATAACGCTTACTTGAGAAATCTCAAATCCAACATTTCTGGGGTAAATGATGCAAAAGGGAGGAGAGTTTGCTCAGCGGAGAGACATTCATCGTTTGAGCGGGAGAGCCGATCAACAGTTATCACATCATCATCATCATCGCCATCATTAAAATTACATTCTTTCTGTTTTAAAACGTTGTTTTTTATGTAAGACAAACTGTCGGTCACAATGAATTAAAAATTCGTGTGGGTATACAGAATATTTTGTTGGAAAATCATGACATGTACATTTTATCTAATTCTCCCTTCTGCGGAAGACCTTTCCCGCTGCATCTCCAAACCTTTAAAACGAGCTACTTCTCAAATATTTTCAACACATGAAAGTTGTTAGTTGTAGAATCAACCCGTTCGCTGGTGATCGGTCAACTCCGGACAAAGATCTGTCATTCTGTGTGCTATTTTATCGACATCTAACTCAAAATATGTGTGTTCAAGGTTTTGCGCTCGTCGTGTGTTACATTTCGTGGACAGAAAAGCACATACACACTTGAATACATAAAACTCTCTAGCGAATGCACAGCCAATGCTCACGAAATCCCGTTATCTTATTCCATTTCTCATGCAGAAAGTCATCCACTAATTCAGAACTAGAAACACATTCATTCAGGAGAGAGAGGCAGATAGCTTGTTTTTGTGGCCCTATAAATGCGTTACACAAGCATACAAAGGTGTTAGTCTATGGCTCACCTGCTGCGGGTTAAAAATTATGAGCAATAGTATAAATTGTTCCATTTGGGTGATGGGATGCAAATGCACTCCGCATCGGCCGGCGTAAGCCACTATGTGGATCGTAAACCAGATTGTCTAAAATTCAACCCACCCACCCACCCCTGCACCACGTATACATCCCTCTGTATCTGCTTTTCTGTTTACCTCGTGGGTTTAATGAGGGTGAAGTAGACACGGGGCACACCGTTAACACGAAAAGTCACCATCCTAACCACATTTTGTTCAAAAGCCTCTCCCCCTAGTCTCTACAACTGGAGTGTCTAAAATCAGGAATAACCGAAACTGGTAATGATCATCTTTTCGTGCATGTGAATGACAGCGACATTGGCGGACACATGAAGAGGAACGGGTGATTGCTGATAAATCTCTAACAGTCGATGTGAACACTTGGTACCGATGAAGTGTAACGATGTCGATACACTGTTTATATCATACGGGGTCGTCTGTTTTGTCGACCGTTTTTCATGTGCGTACGTATGTGACAAAGTCAGAGTGTGATTTCTGTGTTCAGGTCGAATGACTGTACAAACATTACGAAACAAAAAGATGGGGTTTTATCAGGATTAATTTACCTCGAAAAAGACCGGTTGATTACCGAAGTTAGGACTGAAATGTTAAAAACCGATGCAAAGCGATTTCAACCTTGCTGGTTTGGATCTTTCCCCAGTTCCGTCAAGCTGAATGCGCATTTTGTTTGTCAGGTTTCCTGCTAGCGTTACTTACGCTTGATGTACCAGTTAAATTTTCAGTAGTGGTAACACGACCATATTGAGCTCTTGGAGCCTCACAATCTCTTAGATGAGGAGACAATCCCGCGGCTGTTTCGCTGATGTATTTTTTGATCTATCTTAAGGATTGTGAAGCTTTGTTGTTGCATAGTTTATAATTTATTTACAAATTGTTTAGTCAACTTCACCCGTAGTGAAAAGCCGTGGAGAATACGAGTTGGAACACTAGAAAACTGTGCTCGAACCCATTGGGTATCGACTCAGGGACCGCATACGTTTGACGGAAGCGGATTCTTCATTACCTATTTGATTATTTACTTTGTTTCGACATAAGCTAGCACAGTGGTTTGTACGTCATTCTGCATTTTCTGTAGCTTATCGATATAGGTTTCGACTTTTAACCCAAATATTAGAAATTGGAATCCCGGATGGAAGACAGATGTAGAATCACTGAAGAGTGCCCACAAAGACGAAACGGATTTCCAGTGGTCCTAGTCAGAGCTCGAGCAGTTACAGCACATAGAAATGGTATAGCAAATCTTGATAAGATCCCTTTACTATGCTCATCTTAATTTTGTGACAGTAAAATCGAAATGTGAAAATCATACTCTCCAACTACCAGCAATCTCGGTGTTATTTACTTGTTCAACAGACGATTTTATAAACAATTATAAATTGCATTTTTACGACGCACAAATCAAATCTTGGGAGATAGTTTTGTCGTCAATTGTAAAAAGTTGTCGTACAGCGTGAGCTCTCTTAATATCATTTTCATTATTTGAACCCCTTCCGTCCAATGTGTGCAAACTCTAGCGAATTAAGCACTTTAACGCTCAGTGCGTTGGGTATTCTCATTTATCTCCATCTATTCCTTTCCCCCCCCCCCACGTGACTCCTCTCTCGGTGCATGCAGCATCCCCTAGCGAACCAACACGGACCAATCACACGGATCCTTATCCAGTCCCGTTATCTCGAGTGTTGAATCCTAAAACCAGTTCAGCTTCCGTCT